ATTCCCCCATGAATCCAAATATATGATTTGTTTTTAAATCTGACCCCAAATTGTGGTCCAACTTCTCAATTTGTAGAAAATCTAGGTTCTACCCAAAACACCCAATTTTCCCCATGAAAATCTTTGATTTGAAGTTGAAATTATGTTAAAAGATGTTAAGGAATAGAGAAATTAAGTTAGAAATCACTTACCAATCGTTTTGGGGAGAAAGGTTGTTTGGAAAATCGCCTCTTAGGTTTTGGGTTTTTGAAAAGTGAAAAATGACTGAGATTTTCCGAACTTGTATACCTTTCTGAGGACCTGGCGCGGACCGCACAAAAATGTGTTGCGGCCGCGCCGAGTGGGAGAAAAACTGGGGCTTCGGGTGGACCGCACTGTTTTGGTGTGCGGCTGCGCTGGTTAACCTAAAACCCTAGCCCTCAGACTCTGCCACGCGGACCACACAAAAATGCATCGCGGCCGTGTGGCTCCAGCGCGGACCGGGCGGAAATGACCGCGGCCGCGCTGGTGTCTGCAACACCTGAACCTACATTTTCTTAAGTCCAAGACCTCCCGGGCCCCATTCAAAACTCACCTGAGCCCTCGAGGCTCCAAACCAAACATGCACACAACCTTAAAAAACATCTTACGGACTTACTCATGCGATCAAATCGCCAAAATAACATCATATACATAGGATCAAGCATCAAACACATGATTTTCTTTCAACTTTCATAAAAACCCACATTCCCTATTTTAAGTCCGAAACACGTCATATGACGTCCGTTTTTAGCCAAACTCTACAGATAGTGCTTAAAACATATTTAAGACTCGTACCGGGCGTCGGAACCAAAATACGAGCCCGATACCACAGTTTTCTGATCAATTTTCTTCTTCATTTTCCTTAATTAATTTCAGAAAACAATTTCACACAAAAATTCATTTCTCGGGCTTGGGACCTCAGAATTTGATTCCGGGCACACGCCCAAGTCCCATAGTCCGTTTACCCAAAATGTTGACCGAAGTCAACATTATGCATATTAATACCAAAATTCATCAAATATTTCACATAATTCACATATTCTAACATAAAAACTTTTCGGCTACACGCCCGAACTGCGCATGCCAATCGAGATAACTAAAAGCGAGGTTTTCAAGGCCTCGAATGCGTGGAACAAGGAAGAACTACGGTGATGACCCTTCGGGTCGTCACACAAAACTTTAAAAACAACCCAAAATTATATTTATGTCCAAAAACAACTCTAATTTTCAAATACCATATTCACTTGAATAATATTTTTTTCCACTTTTTTTAGAATTTTACAATTCTTATGTCCAAACACCCACTAACTTTAATTTCTTTCCCTATTTTACATCATGTCAAGTAGGTCATCATTACTACGGTAGTACTGTTTTTAACCTTTTGCTTGTAGAGTAGGTCGTCATCTCATTATTATAATTAGTTCGTTGCTTTGCATGTTCATGTGACAAGGTTTTTTGTTCGTTATAAAGGCCTATCATAACAAATAAAATATATGTCAAGAGTGTGTGGTAACTATGGGTGTCTGACGGTGGGCCGGGCCGGGCTGGGTAGGAAAATTTAGGAACCATACGAATTGGGGTCCGGGCCGGTTATGGATTGGGACTTACTGAGTTTAACTGGTTCGGATTCATCCGGGTAAAAAATGAACCGTAAGGGTTAGAGTACAAAGGGTCGGGTCGGGCCGGGCCGGGTTGGTGTAATTTTTAATTTTTTATTTTTTTTTGTATTTTGTATAACTATTGTAAGTTACATTAATATAAAGTAAAATATAAAGAATACAATGAAGATGGAAAAAAATTGCACTTATAAATTGCAAGTGCTACATTTATTTCAAAATTACAAAATTGAAGTTTGCATTTAACAAGTAAATTAACAAAAAAAGAGTAAAACTAAATTTTCATGCATAATAATACTTCAAATTAATCTAACAAACTAAAATATTAAGCATAAATATGTCTATTAATTTTAAAATAACACAAATCAACTTAAATACGATTTTCGGAGGACGCTCAAGACATTTCTACATATGCCTCCTTAAACTGCCCGTGCCACACTTTGGACGAAAATTTAAGACTCGACCACAGTTCTTGCACTTTACTTTCTGAACTTCTTCATTTTCTTCTACCACCTCAAAGTGTTCCCAAACATATGAGCACACTTGTCACGCCCCGAACCTAGGCATGGACGTAACACGACACTCGGTGCCTGACTACATGTGACCGAGCGAACCAACTGGCTGGCTGAATCAACATGTGATATCATAACATATTAAATGCGGAAGATAAAGTAACATATGCTGATATGCTAAAAGTCTGAATGCTAAAAATCAAAGTGCGGAAATATTAATACAATTTTGAAACATATTTATAGTCTACATAGATTAATATGAAAAACATGTGACTCTGTCTAGATGTTACTCTAGTCTATGAAGCCTCTATTGAAGTACTGAAAACATTGTCTATCTGTAAATACTGAAAGACTGTAAGGTAATGATAATGCTCTGAAAGAACTGGGGATCACCCAATAGCTGGTACGAGAATCCTAGCTGTCATGACCCGGATTTCCCACCCTCGGGGGTCGTGATGGCGCCTACTAATAGGAGCTAGGCAAGCCAAATTAAATTACTTTCCATTTAACACACATTCTTCTTCCATAATTATCAACATGTAATAAAGGCAACATGTAATAAGCGGAAGTCTTAACTTATATAAAAACTGAATAGAAATGCGGAAAGTGTAACAAAATCCTCTACCCAAGATTGGTGTCACAATGCTCACGAACTTCTAAGATTACTAAATACAATCGTCTGAAAGAAGATTATAAACTGTTTGTTTCGGTACAAAAGATAACAATCTGAATAAGGAGAGAGAGAGAGACTCCGGGCCTGCGGACGTCAGCAAGGCTACCTCGGTGTCTCTGGACTAAAGGCCTGCTCCCGATCTACTGCTGCTGTCCAAAGGCTGCTCCAACCCCGTGATCTGTGCAAAAGAGCATAGAGTGTAACATCAGCACAACCGACCCCATGTGTTGGTAAGTGTCTGGCCTAACCCCGGCGAGGTAGTGACGAGGCTAGACCCAGACTCCAAATAAACCTGTGCAGATATATATATATACAAGTACAATGGAAAACAGCGAAAAGTAAACAATTAAAGCTGGGAGGGGGAGCATGCTTACGGGGATAGCAGATAAAACAAAATATTAGAAGTAATAAGGGAAAACTACATTTGCTTACTTCTACCATAAAATAAGGGAAAAACAACCACTTTCACTTGTGTCAGTTTCCTCTTGTTGCAGGCGTGCAACCTGATCCCATTTCATCATATCTTGTGATAGGCGTACCATCCGCTCCTATTTCATCACATCTCGTGGTAGGCGTATCACCCGCTCCCATTTCATCATATCTTGTGGTAGGCGTACCATCCGCTCCCATTTCATTTCATAATTTGTGGTAGGCGTACCACCCGCTCCCATTTCGTTTTGTACCACCCACTCCCATTTCAGTCCAACACAATATCATAAGATAATCCCGACAAGGGAGCAAGATAATATAAGAAGTTTCTCGGCAAGGGAACAAGGTATCAAATCAACTATCCCGGCAAGGGAGATCCAGCTATAACCAATTTATTCAATTTCTACTTAACACAATTAATACAAATGCTCAGTCATAACATTTACTTGCTCAGTTTCAAAGATCTTCAATCAAGTTCTCATAAGCATTAATTAAGAATACAACAATTTAGCAATTTAGGACTCACGGTCATGCTCGACCCCCAACGTATAGATACTCGTCACCATGCCTATACGTCGGACACAGCACAAAGCAAGTAACAAGTAAGACTCAACTCCTAATCCCTTAAGCTAGAGTTAGACCGAACACTTACCTCAACTTCTACGGCTGAATCAATCCACAACAACCACTTTCCTTCTCGAATTCGGCTCCAACTTAATCAAATATATGCAATAACGACTTTATAATATCAATATAA